GAGTAGAAACAACAAGAAGTGCGTTATTTGTAATAAGAGGCGAAGTCGTGGTGGATCACCCTTACTTTTGAGTAGGTTTCCTCTGGATTCTGACCGGTAAGTTTCTAATAACACTCATTTATTACAAGATAATTTTACTGATTGTGTAAACTTAAAGGCTGGGATTAATATTTTTAATCATACAGTAAATAACCATAACCAATTTTTAATTTCAGTATTTTGTTTCGTACTCTGCAAATGAATTGCATAACAATACTAAAAGAAATTAGTTGATGAATAAATTTCAGTTTGTTATTCTTTTTCTTTTCTAATAGGTATTTCTTATTTCAGTTGTCGAATGTGGGTTAAAAATGCTGGCATAGAAGACTTAGCATATGTACCTATTGAAAAGTTACACCAACTGAAGTTTGTTTGTGGTGGGCACTTCACTCCTGAATCCTTCAATGCCAAAGGAACTCGGCTGAAGAACTCAGCTATTCCAACACTGGAATTGAGCAATCCCATCTTGCCAGATGAAGTTTTGACAGAGTTTCCTCTTCATGTAAAAGACTCCAATAAAGAAAACCTCAAGACAGGTATGATGATGACTTCAATTATTTTTTTTAAATTTAATTTACTATCTATCAATTTTTCTGAATTATTTAGATGTCTTAATTAATTTTCTTTGGTTTCCAAAACAAACCAACCGAATGCAATTTAACAAGGTTCTTTCTTTGTAACCACAAACATGTGTTGTATGCTTATCAATAAATAATATATAATTTCAATTATTAATTATATCTATACTTTGTTACAGTTCTTTATGATCATTCATATTGCATTCCAAAGAAGTCAAATCCAGTTGAACGAGGTATGTTTATCTAAAATTATACTAATAATATAAAAAGGAAATATTTAATTGTTTGTTTGTATTTGATCGGCTCCGTAACTCGAAGCCAAGATAGCCTAAAGTGCGGGTTAGAACCCCACAGCTTGAATATTGTAGTAAACCCACTCGTAACACAATTTAGCTTAGAATGTGTGTTGAGTTAGAGGGACTTTAGTAATTTGTGTAATACAAATTCTTCAAAAAAACTACCGGACCAATTTGAAAAATTTTAGGCAATCTACATTAATTAGCCAGGTCAGCTAGTTTAATAATATTTTTAAGCTAGTAATTTTTAATGTGAGCAAGACATGTACTAGACTGATTGTACCCTAAAGTTGGGTAAGAACATGACATTTTATTACCCAATTCACATTTCATTTTCTGCTTTCAGTTCCCCTTACAACTACAACCAAACAACTAAATTCAACATGTTTGGGAGCTGTGGATATACCAGATTCTGGTATTTCTGCGAAAACAACTTTTGAACCTCTTCCTTCTACTTCCAATGCACCAGAACATATGACCTATAAACCAATTACTCATGGTAAGTGTACAAACTAATTATTTACCTTCTAAAATATGCCTTCCCTCAAACTAAAGAATGCCACCCTGGATGCGTTCTGCAGTCTGCAGTCAGGTCAAAATCCCAACTAATATTATAAATGCGAAAGTAACTCTGTCTGTCTGTCTGTTACGCTTTCCCGCTTAAACCTCGCAACCGATTTTGATGAAATTTGGCATAGAGATAGTTTGAGTCCCGGGAAAGAACATAGGATAGTTTTTATCCCGGTTTTTGAAACAGGGACGCGCGCGATAAAGTTTTTCTGTGACAGACAAAATTCCACGCGGGCGAAGCCGCGGGCGGAAAGCTAGTGAACTTATATGTACAACATTCTAGGTCTCTGTACATTTTATATTAATGCGATTTGACCGTGCGGATACGAACAAAGAACGCAAAGCACACGTGACTGATTGCCTTATCACGACCACTTACAGATTGTCTTGACATACCCGCAGACCGCATCCAGAATGCAGAACATTAAAACCTCTAAATGCCTTTAATTTAATATTATGTCATTGTTATTGAAGGTGGGCCCACGCTTCATATTTTATGAGAAGAGCTATCATTATCCTGTCTTTGCATTTTTTTAAAACATGATAATGATTGATTGATTTGGAAATAATATGTTTCATAAAACAACTAAATAAATTTTAAACTAATTAGCATATTTATAATATTTCAGATGATAAAAACATTTGCCATCAAGATGCACAGGCAGAAATATTAGTCCACAGTTATAAAAGACCTAAGAAAAACATTGAAATGAAAGGTAAGATAAAACATACCTAATTTAAAAAACTAAGTAAAATTGCTGATTAATTAACCAATATTCAATTCAATTTGCTTTAATGTTGTTTTTTTTACTAATGGAAATGTTTTTATTACAGACACTTCATCAACATTTACAATTAAAGAGAAGAGGCTTTGGCGACAGTTACAAAATGCAAAAAAAACAATAAGGAATATAGCGAAGTCAAGAGTGAATTTAGACAAGTTAGATTCGGAAGTGCTGACATCGTTAGTAAAGGATGTAGTGCAGAATAACAAAAAAAAGTCACAAGGAAAAAGGTGGACTTTAGCCAACAAAATATATGCTTTGGCTATATTTAAACGGTCCCCTAAAGCATACCGCTATATGCAAAAGCTGTTTACGCTACCAAGCACTAAAACGCTCCAAAGGATTTTAAAAAATATACCAATGGAGCCTGGTATAAATAAAAATATAATTGATATGTTAGAGGCAAAAGCATCAAGTATGCCAAAGGAAAATAAATATTGCTCGTTAATATTTGACGAGATGGCGTTAAAGAAACGGATAATTTATAACGAAATTGCTGATAAAGTGGATGGCTACGTGGATTATGGAGAGGGCGAGAACATGGGACGAGAAAAGAAAATTGCAGACCATGCGTTAGTGTTTATGATACAGGGTGCTAAACATAAATACAAACAATATATTGCGCACTATTTTGTGGAAGGCACAATATCAACAGCAAAACTGGCAAAAATTATATCGGACATCATCAAAAAATTAAAAGAAATCGGATTTATGGTTCTAACAACAGTTTGTGATCAGGGATCTACAAATATAGGAGCTCTTAACATGTTAAAAAGAAACTGTGGACAAGGCATAGATAGCAACTTTTTCTCTGTAAATAATGACAAAATTTTTATAATCTATGACATCCCTCACTTGTTCAAATCATTACGAAACAATTTCTTTAAAAGTGGAAATATGTCTTTCGATGGAAAAATTGCACAATGGAGGCATTTGGTAGTTGCAGAAGAACACAACAGAAATTTTTTAAATTTTAAAAAACTGAATAGTACCATTGTAAATCCAACATTCAAAACTAAGATGAGGGTGAAGTATGCTGCGCATGCTCTGAGTAATACCGTGGCAGCTATTTTAAAAATGATGGCATGGAAAGAAGTTTCTGATTGCAATGATACAGCATTTGTGATTGAACAGTTAGATAAACTATTTGATTGTACAAATGGTCCATCATCTTTAAATGACGTAAAGAAAGGGATCCGGGAAAATGTTTCCACATCAAGTAATCACATTGAGTCTTGGACCTTTTATACTGATAAGTTAAAAACCATAAAATTTATAACAGCAGAAAACACGATACTAAAAAATGTTAAATGCGTAAAGGGATATCAAATATCTATCAAATCCTTAAACGATATTTGGGAAAAGTTAAAGAATGAAGGGTTTAAATATATGAACCTTAGACAGTTTAACCAAGACTCTCTGGAAAACTTATTTGGAATCATTAGGCAACACAGTGTAACCAATAGAAATCCCACTATCACGCACTTTACTGCAGCGCTTAAAACAAGCATGGTTACTGGGCTGAAAGTGCCTCATAGCAGAAGTGCTAATTGTGAAGCAGACAACAATAAACATATGCTGGAATATAAAGACATTTTAAAAACTAATTTAAAAACAACAGAAATAAAAATTAATGTTCAAGATTCCACAGACACTGAATTTTATCCTGTGTTGTCTATCCCGGACCCTGAAAACTTAGAACAGCCCATTGAAAATTTGTGTAGCCTTGAAAACCAACCAGTAGTATATGTAAGCGGGTATTTAGCTGCCAAACTATTACAGAACAGTTCTTGTTTAATTTGTGAAGAGTGTTTGAGCGTGAAAACTCCTGTTGACAATGATTTGTATGCATATATATCTCTTCGCGAATGGTGGCATGATAAAAAAAGTCTCGTTTATCCAACAATTCAATTATGTACCACCGTAAATGAAGCTAAACAATTTTATCATGACCATATTGCCGACCAGATATATATGGAAAATGTTGGAAAATTCATTTTCTTAATGTTGAGTACAAATTGTAATTTTAGTTGGTTTAAATGTCAACAACATAATAAAGAAATTTATGATAAGATGTTTAAAATATTAAGTTACCTTTTTCTAAGAAAAAGTTGTAAAATCATTAATGACAGCTTCATAAAAAGTGAAAACAATTTTGCTGACAAAAGTAAAAAAGCACAGCAACAAAGCATTGAAAAGTAATCTTGAGGCAGAGGTTCGATCAGCTGATAAGAAAATTAAAGATGTTTATAAATAAAAATCCTATTTTTTCTTAGAAAAAGTTGTGAAAATAAAAGTTTACAAAATTATCATTTCTGTACTTTGTTATAATATTCAATAATTCCTCAAGCCTACAACTGCTATGTCATGTTCAATACTTATTGTAATATACCTATTTTATTTCGAAATAAATAATTTACGTTACAAAACTTCGTTTTACTTACACATAGTATAAAATAAAAATAGCATTAAAATATTGAAAGTTCCTATACTAGATATCGATATGCAATTACAACCCTAGCAAAGTATCGATAATCGATAAGTTATTACGAACGTCACTAATACTGTCAGAAAATAATGCATTATGCTGGTAGCTCCGCCTGTAGTTTGTGCAGTTGGTAAAGATTTGCGGGTCGTTCTCTAAAATGCATATGTGTGCGTGAGCTCAAAAAATATCTATGGAGTGCCGTCTCTTACTCTTTTATGCTCTTTGCCCTGCTGTGTACTTTTTCTCTATGTCTATGGGTCTGTGGTTTGGTTTGTGAATTTTCTTCTCTTTTCTTGTTTGTTTTCAACTTTGAATTTCATTAAAATGCCGAGAAAAACGCTTTCTGTCGCTTGTAAAGAAATCGTTGTAAAGCTGAAAGAGTATTTCCGAAGGGAAAAACTACTTGATGACTCTTTAATTCCATTTGAAAAAGTAGATGAACGGGTTATCGCTGCTACTGGTCAGTACCCTAACCTTAGATTAATAAAACCAAAACTTTAAACTAGTCGTTTTGTTTACCCCTGTTTTTCCTCAAATTTGTATAGATACATAATTCAAAATATGTTTTCCTTTCTAGGCATATATTTATCGAGAATGTTGACTGGAAAGTTATCAAAAAAGATAGTTACAACTGAAAAGAAAAGCCAAATTATTAGCGAAGATGTTATAGAGCTAGTTGTAAAAGTTAAAGATTTTTTCCAAAGGGAAGCGCGATGTAACGGACCTATTATTCCATTTCAACAAACTAATCTGCGGGTTGGTGAAGCTACAGGTCAGTGTTTACCATACCAAACTACTTGCATAGTTGTTTTCACAATTAAATACCTAATCCAAAATATTCTTTCCAGGCATGTCTGCACGTACAGTAACAAGGATTATGAAGGAGAGTAGATTGGTTAAAAATAACAAATGGCCAGTAAAGAAAAAAATAACAAGGAGTGATAAAATTATATTAAGCAAGTTTGATATTAATGTACTTAGGCGAAAATTGTATGAATGTAACATCAGAAATGAAGTACCAACAGTAACAAAATTACATGAGATACTACAAAAAGAAACAGGATTCAAGGGCTGTAGAGAAATAGTAAGGAGGCGTATTAAAGAGATGGGTTTTCAATATTGGAAGACAAAAGACAATGGAGAAGAGCAAATTGACAATAATGATATATCTTTGTGGCTTGGCTTGCAAGTAGGTAGCATATTATTTGTTTTCATATTTAGAGGTAAATAGGCTTAGTTCGGGAATTACTATTGCAATACAAACTGTTCATAATTATTTTTATTCATTAATTAAAGTAAACTATCAATTTGTTCATTTATTTCAGGATCCTACTGGAGACTCAAATGAATCGCAATGCATTGAACCCTGTTTAAATCAAGAAGAGTCGAACTCAAATAGTAATGAATCTATATCAAAGGAGATTGCCTCAATTTGTCGTCGGCGCCATAAAGTAAAAGATTTAAATATTGTTAAGAAAGAAAAAAAAATTTCAAACAGAGATAGATTAGTGCTAGAGTATATTCCCACAAATGATGAATGTGACATTTATGGAGAACTTTTAGCACAAAAACTAAAGAAAATACATAGAGATAATAGATTAAAATTGATGAGTGAAATTGACAATTTGATGCTTAAATATACAATGGCAGAGAAAGAGCAGAATCAACTACACTCATTTACATCTGCCCTACCAGAAGAACTTCTACCATCATATTCAATTCATCATCGAAATAAAAATGTTAATATTCCACTAGGTTTTTCACAGTCATCAGCTCAGAAAAAAACAGAATTTCATCTGCATAGTGCTTTGAAATCAGGAACAGAAGATTTATTTATGATTTAAAATAATAAGAGATGTGTTATAAATTAACTTTTTCTTGTGCAATTTATTTTGCTACGTACCTCCCGTTTTGTTTAGTCCTGCTGTTAGTGATTCTTTATTTAAAGTTAATTATTTTGTAATGTAAATAGAAGCTTGTTTCATAAAAAACATTTTTAATTTAATAAGCATCCCCCCAACACACCCCTTAATTTCAAAACGATCTTGGCGGGAAAGTGAAGTGAATAGGCGACTTATGTTATCGATTACTGTATCTCAAACATGGAGGTATAGATGACCCACGCTGAACTGTCCCACCAAACTCAATGACAGGGGGGCGCTACCATCGTTCAACTATATGGTTTCCAACATGGCAAACATGAAGCTACAGATAAAAATGGAGGGCAGAGTTGGAACAAAAACTTGAGTCAAATACCTACTTATATCTATCTCGCTCTCTGCGGCCCTACCTCTCTTTTTAGTGTGAACTGTAGTATTGCTATCTTCTGATTTAAATCTCCTTGTAAATTCTTCGAAATAGCCAATTCACTAACCAAATCAGAAGTTAAACAAATAAATAATTAATATTTGAAACTAAGATTTCCTAGTTAAATAAAAAATCTCAAAATTGTCGGCCATTTAGGCTTAATGTATTGGCGAATCAGGGAATTACAATCCCAATTCCTGGGTAATCGGTACCATGTGGCAACATCGGCCCAATCCGGCCCATCATGGCGGTTGTTTACTATTTTGTTTATTAAGCAGTTAATTTCGTTTGAGATTGTTTACAGGAAATAATCATTGTTTTATCACAAGAATTTTACAATCCCAATTCCTGGGTAATCGGTACCATGTGGCAACATCGGCCCAATCCGGCCCATCATGGCGGTTGTTTACTATTTTGTTTATTAAGCAGTTAATTTCGTTTGAGATTGTTTACAGGAAATAATCATTGTTTTATCACAAGAATTGGTGCAAAATTTTGTAGTGCGTGGTTGCGGTAGTACGTGGTGTCCTGGAAGTGACATAAGATTCCACGCGTAAGTGTTTATTTCGTGATTTCCGACATTGGATCATTGTAAACATTTTTCACATTTTTTACAGTAATTTCTTCCTAAAACGTTTTACCAGTAATTACACTTATCATTTTTAATGATACCTATGTCAAGAAATAAAGATTTTACATTGGTTTCATTGAATTTGAGCAATTTTATATTTTTTGTTTATTTAGAAAGAGCGAGTCTGCCCACAGAGAGCGAGATAGTGATACTTAATTTGTGCTTCAAGTAGGTATTCGGAGTGTGGCCTCCATTTTTATCTGTAGCTTCATGATGGCAAAAATCGGAACCAGCGATCCGGTATTGACGGTGGCGCCCCACTGTCAATGTCATGGATAGGACAGTTCAGTATTTTGGAACTATACTTATCTCGAAGTAGATGGATGAATGGTATAGCCTGACCAGAGCCCGGATTACGGTAACTTTTATAACGTCTACAATCCAGACGCGTTTCTGATTCTGCGATACGATTGGTCAAAACAGCTGACGTACGCTGTTGAACGATCAATCGTATCGCAGAATCGAGAAGCGTGTCTGGATTGTTGACGTTAAAAATTACCGTAATCGGGGCTCAGGAACATAAAAACCCTCGCCATGTTGCGGAAAATTAATGGTACTAATTTCTTTTAATGGCAACAGTAACTGAAAACTTCATTGACATGTCACCTTGCATGTCAGTCTATTGCTGTCAAAGTGTAAACAAACTTTATTTTAAATGTGCGCAATTGATTTTGTGAATTAAATTGCTAAAATCTTTTTATAGTCGTGAAAGAAAAGTGGTTCACAAATTCACAATGTGTTAAAGTATTTGTCGAAGAGAAATACTATGGGTTCGGACAATATTTTCATTGAATAATGTTTCCGACAAAGGTTGTCAAATTGACTGACATGTTTATCGTATAGTACAGTCAACTATGAAAATTAGCTGTGGTTTGTTTCAACTACCTATTTTAAAGTTTTTTGTCACTTTGTAAGTATTGAATTTTATGGAATTGGGAAAGAAGTACCGAGTTTGAAGCGTTCATGAGCAGACATTGTAGTTGAATATTCAAGTTCAGAATTTGATTATTGATGAATAATAATAAAATCCTACTTGCTCGATTGATGGTTTCATTTAATTTATTTAAACCAGTTTACCTATAATATAATATGTTTTTGTTAATTTATAAAAATATTAAATTAGCCTATAATCCTGAATCCTGATACATAAAGTTAGCCTATTAATTTAATACAGGTACGACTGTACCCAGTGTTGCACTATCAAATGCAATTGAAGCGCCTCTATGCCAGGGTTTTTATGTTCCTGGTCAGGCTATAGATGAAAAATCCGTCATTTATCAGTCATTATAAATATTATTAAGATAAGCTAAAAAATGATGACTTGGCTGTATACCGTAATGCCTTTGCTTTTTTAAAAGAATCGAACAAAAAAAATGTCAAACAATCATGGCGGCCGAAGATGACATTTTGTTGACAAATGACAACACAAGCAAGCAAGTGGCTTCGCATTTTGCTTCATCAAAATTTAAAGAAACAAGAAAGCGTTTCTTCTTTTTGAAATGAGTTAGCGTTATAACAATATCTAACCATGAAGTTGAAAAAGTTAAAAACTGACACTGAAGCAACTGCTGTGAGTACCGTTTGTTTATTTACATGTCGGCTTCCTTTCCTTGTGCTAAAGCTAAAATTTTTCAGGAGGTTGTTCCTCCTCAAGCTGAAATCATCGAAGCGGACCTGTACAAACGTTCGTACTTTGGCCCTGACGTGCCGACACTTGAGCTTGAGTGTTGGGAAGAGGAGCTCTCGGAGGTGCAATTGCAGGCTTACAAAAATGCCGACGATGAGTACAAGAGCATACAAAACAAACTTGACGAAATGGTCAAGGAGACGGGGGGCGAGATTGTGTACAACGGCGACCAGTTCACTGCATACCAGTTACTCGGAAAGTTAGTATTTATGCATTACATTATTATTAATTTGTATAACCTATAATTTTACTTTACTGAAATTGCTTCAAACCAATACTATTTACCTATTTAATTGAAGGCATTTAGCTTGGTTATCTGGCGAAATACAGATAATTGAATTAAAGCAGCAGAACTCTCTGAAAAACATCACTCTTTTAAACTGCGATCTCCAACCCGCTTGCCAAGCGTGGGGATTATGGCAAAACTCTCCACTAAGTAGAGGAGGCTCATAGTCCAGCAGTGGACTGTAAAGGGCTGTTGATGATGATGATGATGAATTGAATTAAATCCACATTTAGACGCTTGCCAGCTATGTAATATTACATAGAGTTACTTTAATTAATCTGTATAAGTGAACTAAATATGTTATTTACAGGCAACCAGTACTGAAAGACTTGGAGAGACAGAGTGCAGACATTATCAGATCCAGATCTCGCTCACTCTCCATATCCAAGGAGAGATCAACAAGCAAAAGAGGTAATTGATTTGTTTGAAACTTATAATTAGAACAGTTAATATAAAGGTTCATGAAAATTGATAAAATGGTCTTAGAGTAGGCGCACACCGTTGATTTTTCTTCGGCCGATAGTTTAGTCGGGCAGTTGATCAGTATGGGGTGTGGAGTGCGCACACTACGCCGACTCGATTTGGCCGATTCTTCATACAATTAAAAATCGGGCACAACTATCGGCCAACTAAAAATAACGGTGTGCGGCTACTCTTAGGCTCTTTAGTTTTAAACAAAAAGGCTTTAGAAAGAACCTCACGTTATTGTCATGTTATTGTGTTTTATCATCAAGTGTAGATTGATCTCCTTTTCTCTTATTTAGGACGACCTAGGAAAATCCGGGAAGCAGATAGAGATTACTCTCCGTCCCCTGAAAGGGCTAAGTCACCGGAATCACGGAGTCATAAGAAGAAAAAGAAGGACAAAGAAAAACACAAGGAAAAAGAGAAGGACAAAGAAAAGGAAAAGGACACTAAAACTAAGGACAAGACTTTGGCACCTTCTAGTGAGTTATAGAATTAATATTTACGATAGGTTAATTCAAAAATAACTTCTAAATTATATCAGAGTAAATACAAATGGATTTCCACAAAGACCGGTCCTGCGCCGCTTGCATCCAGGTACTTCCCGCGACCTTCACCAGATCGTCGGTCCACCTAGTGGGAGGCCTGCCCACTAGGGTGTCCCGTCGTTGTATGGGAAAAAAATTTTTTTGAGCTACGGTTACGCAAGAGGTGTCAAAAGTTGCGTTTTGACATATAGATTACGATAAGCATTAAATTTAATTAGATATCTGTCATCTTGAGGCCTCTACCTGTCCTTGAAATTTTTGAAAGTTGCTATTTTAGGGGTTCCTAACATAAACTATAAGTAATACAAAAATAGCGTTTTTATGAAATTTGAGGGTACACAATGAGTCACATCAAGGTTTAAAATAGTTTAAAAACCAATAAATCCATAAATACGTTAAAAACAGAATTCGCTTTTTGACCAGAATTAGGCATTTACGCGCGCGATTTTAATGTATTCCTAATTAATCCATGGGTCAGCCAAGATATCGATTTAATTTGAGGATACTCAATTCCCTTCTCACAGCAGGTTAATAATTTTACTACGCTATTATAAAACAATGATTGGCATCTCTAAGTGGAAGCTAACAAAAATGGCAGTCAATTTTAGAAAATCAACCATAACTTGAAAACCATTTGTCCGATTTCATTACTTTTTTATTTAAATCAAAGCTCTACGTATACGCTTGATATTTTGTAGTATAAATTGTATCGATAAAATCAACCTTTAGTTAGTAATTAAAGGAAAATTGATTTTTTTTACATTGTTGTGATACTACTTTTTAAATCATTTTTTTACAAAATGTCTTATACTCTACTAAAAGTTTTACACGAGCCAAAAAAGTGTATTAAATTGTCTTTAATTTGATATATAACATGTATGCGTTTCATAACTAAAAATATTTTTTTACTTCCGTTGAAGTTCACCATTGATAAAAAACTGCGTACAGAACAAAAAATTCAGCTAGAAAGTTTATGTAACGTACATAAATGTTATTTATATTTAATAGTATGCTAAAACTATTTATCATGTCAATTAGTATTCTGTTTAAATATAATATTTTAAAGATTTTTGCCAAGGTAGTTTTTACCTGAAAAAAATCCAAAAGTATATTACTACCATGTTTGCTAAATTTTTGTTAAATTTATGCTAAAAGTATGTAATATTATAACAAAAAAGTGCGGTGCGATACCTTACAGCAATAAAACCTCAACAGAANACTGCCCACGCTACGTCTTCTTCCAGCTCGTGGTCGCCACTCAAGAACTTTCCTGCCCCAGCGGCCATCAGCTCTTCGAGCTATGTGCCCCGCCCACTGCCACTTGATTTTAGCGATTCTTAGGGGAGGCCTTTGTCCAGCAGTGGATGTCTTTCGGCTGAAACGACGACGACGACGACGACGAAATACAAATGAGTAGGTTATCTTCATAGAAACGCACTGAGCGTTAAAATTTATCGTGGATTAACGGGGAGTTGCGCCGAATATTGTCAGTGTGTGCGTGCGCGCCGCATACGTATTGGCGCGCTCACGTAAAAACCGCGCTCGGTGCGTTTCTATGAAGATAACCAACTCATTTGTATTTACTCTGATCATATTGCCAGATATTTCTTGTTATAGTTGGTTTCATTAACTTTTTTTTACAGATGTGCACAGTGTGGTCACAAATGTGCGTCCATCGGAAGCAACAGCAATTGGGGGTCTACTGACTGGCAACACAGCTAAGACAACAGCCATTGTTGATCTCACCAAAGAGGATGGCAACAAAAATGTTGCAGATTCTCGTGAAGTCTCATTCAATAAGCTTCAAGGTATGTTTTACAGGAACCTTGTATTATACTAAAGCCCGGTCTGTGAGCACGTAGAATTTCGCACACTCACTGCGGGTGCCAGTCGCACAGTCGCGACAGCAATATAATTACGCGCGAGCGATAAGGATGGGTAGCTTGGGGTCATTGGACAAAATTATACGTGCTCACAGACCAGTGACTATACTTGTGTACTGATTACAAAACTTGCATGTATGAGAGTTTACATTATGCAGACTAAGAGTGCATATCTCCCTCCCACAGATTTTGTATGGCAAAGACTAACAAATACTAAAGGCATGTCATACATGCCTTTTTGGCCAACTTGGTAGACTTACTAGATAATGAATTAAAGGCCTAAATAAATAAATAATTTATTTATATTTGTATTGTGTATGTGTTCAATCTGTCTGTTGTTTTTTTAAAACAGACCTAAAATAATGTCCCCAGGCAAAACGTTCCCATCGCTGGTGGTGGTGGCGCGGCCGTACCTCCGCTCGAAGGAAGCACCGCCGCCGTCGGACCGCTCGGCGCTGGACAGCAAGGTCAAGTCGGTGCTCATGCACACGCCCATGAAGTTCACGGAGTGGCTCATACAGCAGGGGCTCGTGCGCTCCGAGCAGTGGTGCGCTATACACGCCGGGAACAAACTCAAACTTGGTGAGTTTTCTAAACTACCTTCTGGCTATAGTTTAACCTGCAAAGTTCACCTGTTATTCGTAACCTGACTGGACAGGCCACAGATTATGTTTGGACATCTTTGCTTGCCCTAGGCCCGGAGACCGAATCCACTTAACATAGATTTCACCACTCCACCACTCTCTCGTTTCGTCATTTCCCGGTCGAGACCCCCTACAGATACTTGAACTGCTTTTTAACGACTGTAGTGACATAATATGATATCCCCAGGCCTATTCCTGGACGTGACCAAGTTCCCGTACTCGGGCGGCTACGTGTGGATTTCCGAGTGTTGCCCAACTCGCTTCGAGTCTGTGTTCTCTCATTAAACTGTGTTGTGTGCACACAGCATCTTGTTGCTAACTAAAGTTACATCTTATTTAGCAAACACAAGTGCTATTTTGCAATGAAACTTATGCTATACATACTATGATATCCCCAGGCATATACTCAACCAAGGACTTAACCAAGTTCCCGTACTCGGGCGGCTACGTGTAGATTTCTGGGTGGTGCTCCATTCGCTTCGTGTCAGTGTTCTCTCTTTGTGTGTAGTGTACAAAAAACATCTTGATGCGCTGGCGTGAACACTGCTACCTCTTATTTATTAGTTCGTTTCAGCTAAATGACGTCCACTGCTGGACAAAGGCCTCCTCCAAGGTTTTCCACAATGCACGGTCCTGCGCTGCCCGCATCCAGGCTCTTCCCGCGACCTTTACCAGATCGTCGGTCCACCTAGTAGGAGGCCTGCCCACGCTACGTCTTCCAGCCCGTGGTCGCCACTCAAGAACTTTTCTGCCCCAACGGCCATCGTCTCTACGAGCTATGTGCCCCGCCCACTGCCACTTGATTTTAGCAATTCTGCGAGCTATGTCGGTCACTTTGGTTCTCCTGCGGATCTCCTCAATTCCGAATCGATCACGCAGGGAAACTCCAAGCATGGCCCGCTCCATCGCCCTTTGACCTTGAGCCTTCTTATGAGACCCATAGTAAGCGACCACGTTTCAGATCCATAGATCAACACTGGCAACACACACTGCTCGAAGACTTTTGTCTTGAGACACTATTTATTAGTAAAATGTGCTATTTAGCAATGACTTTACTTAATATGACGTCTCCAGGCATGTACTCGGACGTGACCAAGTTTCCATACTCGGGCGGCTACGTGTGGATATCCGAGTGCTGCCCAACTCGCTTCGTGTCTGTCTTCTCGAGCTCCATCTTCGAAGGCGCCACCTTCCCGCCGAGTGTGCTGCTCAAGCTGATCTACCACTGGGCCTGCCAGACCAATGTGCAGAACGTCGTGCAGTGGGTTAAGGTAATGCTATTTATTTTTTCCCTGATCTCTAGATGAATTACTCCAAAGTTAAATATAAAATCTAAAGATCATACAATTACAGGGTCAAATGGGCGAATTTGCATTCTCAAAATACATCCACGAAGTTTGTCTAACCCTTTACCAAACACTCTGTCTTGTGTTACATACATAGAATTACCTTTTTATAGAGACCAAGAAGAGAGTTAACAATGTCAGTAGTTGGTCTGAAGTTTTCGTCATAGTCGCCACTGCTGGAGCACAATTACTTTCTCCAAATAGCTAAAAGCAAGATGCAAATGGAGGATTTGGTTCCCTATAATGGCAAGTCGGATTGGGGACAAAAAAAGACTCCTAAGTGACAAGCAATATGGTTCTATTAACATTGTACTTGGCTTCCCAGGTGGACAACCTCTACGTGAAAGGCTTATTCACGTGGCTACGAGCGATCTGCACATCAGCCATCCACCAACACATGCAGTTACTGGGTGGCGCGGGAAAGAAGGTCGAAGTGGGCGTGATCTCGTTAGGCACCACCAGCCACGACGGCACGCAGCGCCAGGTCAAGGTCGAAGTGCTGGGCGTGCTCGACCCCACTGAGAAGCTGGTGAGTGTTGTCCACAGCGGCTGCTGGGCGCCCAGCAACAAGCGAAGTGGGCGTGGGTTCGCTGGGCACCACCAGCCACGACGGCACGCAGCGCCAGGTCAAGGTCGAGGTGCTGGGAGTGCTCGACCCCACTGAGAAGCTGGTGAGTGTCGTCCACAGCGGCTGCTGGGCGCCCAGCAACAAGTGGAGTGGGCGTGGGCTCGCTGGGCACCACCAGCCACGACTGCTGGTGAGTGTTATGGAAGTAATGGCAACAGGGGCCTACGCTAAAACTCTTCTGTGTCGCCAAATATGAACGGATGAGCAGCGCAGTGTTTACGGACGCGTGCGACGAGTTTTCACACGCGTGTGGGGCGGGCATGCAATTACGTACGAGCGCACGCGGCATCCGTAACGCGTAAAGGAGCGGTAACTTGTGCTTTGTGGCGTTTCTTAGGCGAGGCATGCGTGATGCGTCCAGCAACTGAAATAATGATGACATGAGCCAAACATTTCAAAGATTTGTTTCCGCTGTTTCAAATTTGTCGTCAATCGTGATGTCTTTGTGCCTATTTTTGTTCACCCAAAGATTCAAAATGTTTGAATGAAATTCATTTTCGTTGCGCAGATTCGCCTCCGAGCCGTTGAACCTTTGGCCGAGCATGAGAAAAACTACAAGAAGCGTTTCCAGAAGATTCTCGAGCCTCTCACCGGCTGGGTGCATCCGTCCTCCATGATCCTCACTGACCTGACCGTAGACAAAGGAACCCTTGTGTCTATGGGCTTCAAGAGCGTCCACCAGTCGTCGTCACACTCTGATAGTACGTCGCGAAGCGGCAGCAACAGTAATGCCAACATAATGGAGTATCTGCGACGGATCGTGCCGAGAATGTTCCAGAATACGCTCTCGCTGTTATCCCGCCAGATTATTCAGCAGTTCCTGGATGAGCTCGTGTGGAGGGAGAAGTGAGTTTTGTATTTTGATGTGTATTATTTTGAATATGCGGTAAAGATGTATTTTTTACTGTATTGCCCCCTGCTTGTTTCTGAATGTCAATGTATGTAACACACATACAAAACTAGATATCAAACATATGAGCAGCAAAAAATGATAACCATAACTTATGATAGATTGAGTTCAAAATAAAACAAACCTTGAAATGTTGCTATCGCGCTCGCACACTCACTGCGGGTGCCAGTCGCACAGTCGCGACAGCAATATAATTATGCGCGAGCGATAAGGATGGATAGCTAGGGGTCATTGGACAAAATTATACGTGCTCACGGACCGAGCTTTAGCTCTACCATTTACTCAGATTATCTCCGAATCTAAAATGTAATACGATGGATTGTCCTCAGGTACGGTATTTCCCCGGGGCAAGCTTTCGACAACATTGTCCTCCACATTTCGGAGCAAACCAAGGTGGAGGCAAAGGACGCGATCACCGTCCGCCTAAACAAGATAGCCGCCAATCCGTTCAAAATCTGGAAGTATCCTAAGGTAACAACAGTTTTGATGAAGAAATATCTTTTCATAAATTATTTTATCAAAGTTATTGACCATCGTATAAGATTCCACATCATTAACTTCCTGAAAACCAGTTTTGTATCTGGACATAACTATAAAACTACAGATACATGCTCATAAAATGTCTTGCTTATTATCATTCTTAAAACAAGCGTGCTCGAACACCTCGAAATGAGCATGCTTATTATTAGCAATGTTTCGACACATGCTACTATAAGCAGTGAGGGTTTTCGCGAATGAAAAATCCGCCAGATGGCAATACGTAGACGCGAGGTCCAAATGCTGCATGATTGGTTATTTTTGACATGACATTGACAGATATGTCAAAATCCACCAATCACGCAGCAGTCAGACCCCACATCCACGTCCCGCCATCTAGCGGATCTTTCATTACAAAAACCCTTATTGCTCAATATTGGTATGCTTTCGTGCTAATAATGAGCATGTGTGTATCTGTATCTTTTTGACAACCAAGGTGCTTGCTATTGATTCATTTTATCGCTCGCACTCTAGTGTCTACCTCGCACCCTGGTGACCAGCTGTGATGACGTCATACCTTGACGAGCGGGTGGCGGTAGATGTAGCCGGTGCGGAAGCCGGCGTTGTCTCGCTCGCACTTACCTTGGCTACCATAGGGTATAGTTTTCTAACTCGATTGCCTTTACTCAGAAGAAGGACAAAGGCGACGAGCCCGAACCGGAGCCCGAGGCGCCGCGAGGCAAGCGCGGCCGCAAACGCCGCGAGCCCGATCCGCCGCCGCCGCCCAAGAAGAAGCGACAGAAGACCACGTACATCGACGAGGACGAAGAAGACGAGGAAGTGAGTAACCACTGGCGTTTTTAACCTTTAATCGTATAAGTTCGTTTGTTTCATAATCATTAGACCTTAGAACCTAAAGGTCCGGTTTCCACCAAACGGGAGAGGAAAGACGATGTTTTTTAAATAACCAATCAGGATTCATTATTTCCACACCTCTCGTCTCCTCCCCTTTTCGCCTTTATGAAAATCGGGCCTAAAACAAGGCAATTAAGAAGATCAAAATAATATACAAAATAATCACCTTCCTGAAGATTAAATAGATAAAAAAAAGTATTTAAGTATGTTTATATCTGTTGTCTAGTACCTTTTTACCTTTGCTTCGTTTGGGACTAGCGGCGCAGTGTAAAAATGTCCAAGGATATTTATTTATTCAATCAAAATCAAATCAATTTTTTTTTATTCAATTTAGACCACAAGAGTGGCACTTATGATTATTTTATTAATTTATTTAACCGTTTGATCAGTCACATCTTCAGTATGAATTGGGTATTGACGCATTGAAATAAGAGTGTGTTACATTTTTCAATGCTTACGGCAGTTGTACATAAAGCCATCTTAATTTTTCCCTTCATTGTTCTACGAAAAATTATACCTTATTCCACAACAAAAAGCTGGAAAAAATAATGCAGAAAATAGAGCCAACCAACAGCCGAGTATTCTCTTTTCTAACTATTCACTCCTTCTACCAAAACAGATACCGCTCGCGCTGCGTCGCACCAAAATAAAGCAAGAGAAAGACAAGGACAAAGTGAAAGACGAGGGCACGACTCGCCGCCGTAAGCAGCCGAAGACATACGTCGATGACGACTTGGACGATGTGCCTCTTAAGAGCATCAAGAAAGAGGCGAAGCCAGAAGAGACCGTCACGGTGTCCATGGAGAGATACTACTTCGGACAGATCGGGGGTGACGAACCGGTGCAAAAGGTGGCCATTGCTGTGGAGGTATGTTTATTGTTTTACTATCATAGTTTTTTACTTAACAGCTTAATTTGATTGATACAGGTAGAAGAACTGCCCAAATAGCTTCTCTTTGGGCAGTTGAGCAGCTTGCCCTTTACTTATAGCTAATCGATAAAACAATCGATTTTATATGTTAATAAAACCCCAATCGGGGCAAACAAGAGGACTTAAGACTTATCTTTTTAAAAATTGTATAAAACAAAACTTTACAGTTTGAATGAGACTGTTAGTTTTTATCAGACAGAAAAAAATGTGTTTGTTTTTCGACGTAGTTCTGTGGAACGATAGATTAATAGTGCCGACTATTCAATCGAAACGATACTGTTGTGTATCCAGCATTTAATTTTTTTGTTACTTTTTATGTTCAGCTTTTATGTAAATGAGCATCTCTTCCCCAGTGTCCATTCTGCAACATGGAGTTCACCCACAACATAGACTTCATGCTGCACGTCTTCAAGCACGTAGTACCACCACCATCGGGTGTCGACGACGCGCCACAGTGCGAGTTCTGTCTAGCTCGCTTCGCGGGAGACGAGGAGCTGGCCACCCATCTCAAGAACATGCACCCGGCTGATACCAAGTCGCCTGAGCTGTACACTTACGCCTGTCTGATCTGCGAGGTTAGTCATGTACTTAGACTTCATGCATACTTTGCAATTGCATCTTCAAGCATAGGGTCGCATCGCAGTGCGAATTCTGTCTCGCGCGCTTCGCGGGAGACGAGGAGCTGGCCACCCATCTCAAGAACATGCACCCGGCTGATACCAAGTCGCCTGAGCTGTACACTTACGCCTGTCTGATCTGCGAGGTTAGTCATGTACTTAGACTTCATGCATACTTTGCAATTGCATCTTCAAGCATAGGGTCGCATCGCAGTGCGAATTCTGTCTCGCGCGCTTCGCGGGAGACGAGGAGCTGGCCACCCATCTCAAGAACATGCATCCAGCTGATACTAAGTCGCCTGAGCTGTACACTTACGCCTGTCTGATCTGCGAGGTAAGTCATGTACTTAGACTTCATGCTACATGTCTTCAAACACGTAGTTGCAGCACCATCAAGCGTTGACGACGCGCCACAGTGCGAGTTCTGTCTTGCAAGTTTCCCAGGAGACTAAGAGCTGGCCACCCATCTCAAGAACATGCAACCGGCCGTCGCCGGAGCTGTTCCTTATGCCTGTCTGATCTGCGAGGTAAGTTTTGTACTTTATACTTCATGCATACGCATATGCATCTTCAAGCATAGGGTCGCATCGCAGCGCGAATTCTGTCTAGCTCTCTTCGCAGGGGACGAGGAGCTGGCCACCCATCTCAAGAACATGCATCCAGCTGATACCAAGTCGCCTGAGCTGTACACTTACGCCTGTCTGATCTGCGAGGTAAGTTATGTACTTTATACTTCATGCATACGCATATGCATCTTCAAACATAGGGTCGCATCACAGTGCGAGTTCTGTCTCGCGCGCTTCGCAGGAGACGATGAGCTGGCCACCCATCTCAAGAACATGCACCCGGCTGATACCAAGTCTCCTGAGCTGTTCACTTATGCCTGTCTGATCTGCGAGGTAAGTTATGTACTTTATACTCCATGCATACGCATGCATTTGCATCTTCAAGCATAGGGTCGCATCGCAGTGCGAGTTCTGTCTTGTAAATTTCCCAGGAGACGAAGAGCTGGCCACCCATCTTAAGAACATGCATCCAGCTGATACCAAGTCGCCTGAGCTGTACACTTATGCCTGTTTGATCTGCGAGGTAAGTTATGTACTTTATACTTCATGCATACGCATATGCATCTTCAAGCATAGGGTCGCATCGCAGTGCGAGTTCTGTCTAGCTCGCTTCGCAGGAGACGAAGAGCTGGCCACCCATCTCAAGAACATGCACCCGGCTGATACCAAGTCGCCGGAGCTTTATGCCTGTCTGATCTACGAAGTAAGTTTTGTATAGTCTGACTATAACGGCAGTTGATCCTGATCTGCCAGTGTGAGGCACAAATATTTATCCTTCAAGCCGGATATAAGACTAGTGTTGGTTTGATCTGCCGATATCTGTTGATAAATATCTTTTTTTATTGAAGATTATGTGGCTGATCGTGTGGAAATTCGTTTTAATAGTTGACTATACCTGCGCGGGTGAGAGTATTGTAAAGCACAAGCAAGTGGTGTCTTGTAACGTTTTACAAATTGGTGCTGTCAATAATGCATTTAAATCGCGCGTGTCGTTGGGTGTGAGCGATCCCGTTTTACCCCCTTAGGGGTTGAATTTTCCCATCTTAGTGAGCACCTACGTTCTAAAAGGCGTTGCGCGCCTTCTTGACTGGTAGCCTCAATATGGTCCCGGTCAAGAGGGCGCGCAATCCGCAATCTTCATCGTGTTGGTTCCCGCTGAAAACCAGCTTCTCGACATGGCGCTTGTTATGTCGCGAATATAGCTGAGCGGACGCCTCTTCAGCATAGCTTGTAGTTTAATGTTATATGTACTGTATTTTTATTTTATTTTTCTATGCTAAATAAAGTATTCTTATTCTTAAAAGGAACTCCCATGCAAAAATTGAGGCTCCGAGCACTTGTAGTTTCTGAGATTTTGTGATGAGTGAGTCAGTGACCTTTCGCTTTTAGAAACTATATGCATATAGATTTATTTTACGCATACTTATTTGTCCCTTCCCAGGTCCGTTTCGCAGCAGTACTGACTCTAGCCACGCACATGCAGAAGACGCACGTGCCGCTCGAGCTGCCGTACGCGTGCGGCGCCTGCGCCTACCGCGCCTCGTCGCACCGCGCCGCAGCCGAGCACTTCCGCCGCCGACACCGTTCCACTAACAACGTGCATTGCCCGCTGTGCCTCAAGGTATGAGATAGACTTAGCTGTAGTAAATTAAGCCTGGCGCTGAGACGGAGTTATAGTTAGAATATTTTGTGACAAAAAGTACACAAATAGACCAAAAGTACAAAAGGACACAAATATACCTAAAGTACAAAAGGACATAAATAGAGAAAAATATAACAAAAATCGTGCAACTGTTTATGTACCCTTTTGACAAAAAGCATCGACAGTCACAATGAACTGCTTCAAAACTGTATTAGACACCTATAAGTGTAAGCGGATAGGCCCCACTCTGGCGGCAAATGCTTTCCTTTACCTTCCCCCATGCCTTCCTGAAAAAAATGTGATATGTGTCCTATTCGCAGCCTTCCATCTAGGCACCCCACACGGAGCGTCCTAACTTAGATCGTTCCTACATCAATATCATAAAAAGATTGCTGATCAACTTGACCAACAGCAAAAATGTAGAGAAGACCACTACGCGCCGGGTTTCGCTTCGCTTTAGTTTATTGATTTGTAAAACTAATGTTGTATAAGTGTTTGACCATGTGCATCGTTAGGCCCACACCTATTACTACCAACCAAAGGAAGTACTGGAACTCTCCTTTGACCATTAGTCTATGTGCCAGGTGCTGACAATTTACGAGGACGGTCACGAGCTGTCTTCCAACATTCTGGTGTACATCGACCATCTCAAGACCCATCAGGACAAGGACTTGGAGGTCCGCTGCAACCGATGCGTGCTTAAGTTCGTGCATCTCGGTAAGTCATAATAAAAACTACATAATATGTAATTTTGAACCACTAAGACCAAAATTACCATTTTCAATAACATTCGTTCGTAGGTTCGTTTCAGCCGAAAGACGTCCACAGCTGGACAAAGGCCTCCCCCAAGGATTTCCACAAAGACCGGTCCTGCGCCGCCCGCATCCAGGCACCTCCCGCGACCTTCACCAGATCGTCGGTCCACCTAGTGGGAGGCCTGCCCACGCTACGTCTTCCGGCTCGTGGTCGCCACTCAAGAATTTTCCTGCCCCAGCGGCCATCAGCTCTACGAACTATGTGCCCCGCCCACTGCCACTGTCAATAACATTAATTTATCTTTACTTCTATCGCAGGTCAGATGAAAGAACATCAAATCCGTGAGCACAACACGGTGGAGAACGCAAACCCGTTGTGCTCTGAAGAACATCTGATTATTCAACCCAAGGTAACTTTCATTCTTCTTGCACCTTTCCTCAATAATATTGTGCAAATAATCACATGAGTTATCAAACTTGTTTCTTCTTCTTTTTTGTTAGTTTATTAATAATTGTTTAATGTTTTCAAATCGTAGAACAAGGCCCGACCACCAGTAAAGGACACCTCGAGCCACACTATGAGCGACACGTTCGAGGAGCTGACACTAGTGCTGCCCAGCGGCATGGTCTGCCGCGAGTGCGACACGCCGCTGGAGAGCGACAAGCACTTCCTGTGAGTACTGTGACGTCATAACCTATACATATAGTCTTTACTCTTACGTTTTCTGCTGGATTGTCATCCGTGCCTTTCGTGGCAAAACTGGCATTGGACTGCCTGGCCGACTGCATTAGAAATAAGTATTAGAAACAGCGCAACATAATTGACGGAACATTTTTCTTGATATCGCTGACAATCCTTCATAACTCCCAACCATCAGAAAGAAGAGAAAGGCTTTATTACATGTTGAACACTTGTTTAAAGTGACATTTAGCATGGAAATGGTCATTGTAATAAGGCCAAAAGTTCATCATATAACCAGGCCTGTTCATCTCCGCGAGTTTACATCGAAAACAAAACACGCACGATGGCCCACCTACAGGATACGATTCGACAAGGCCTCACATACGAGCGAACATTGACTCACGCACGCGTATTCTAGTGTATGATGGAAGAAAATGATGTACTAAATACTGTGCAGTATTTAACTGCCTAAATAATAATAAAAACACAGAATGTACTTTTTTAAGTTGCCTCAAGACACTGAGAGGTAAATAAGTAGTTAATATTATTCATTATAATTCATGCTAAATCATGTATTTCCTTCGCCATTTTCCGCAGTTTGGCACCTCACGTCACATCATTTTACCGAAGTCAGCCCTATAGCTTCGGCGCAGTGCCGATCACTGACGTTTGTCAACAAAATGGTGCTTGACTCAGACAGGCTAAATTACACCATATTGTTAATGACATTGAGCATACATTTTTTTAAATACCTTCGCGAAGTAAAACTTCTGTACGTAGTACTTATTATTATTCTGTGGTAGTACTTATTATTATTCTGTGATATAACTAACAAGCAACCATCTCGCAGGGGCACCACCAACTGTAGCAAGTGTCCGTTCTCGACGTCGTGCTACCGCGGCATGCTGGCCCACAGCGCGTACTGCGCCGGCCCGCATTCGCTGGAGGATGCGCCGCGGCCCGCGCCCGCTATGGCGCACTGCGTTTGCGGGTATAGCACGCGGATTGGTGAGTTTGATTGTGAAATATTCTACTAAAGCCTGGTCCGTGAGCACGTAGAATCCCGTCCAATGACCCCAAGCTACCCATCCTTATCGCTCGCGCGTAATTATATTGCTGTCGCGACTGTGCGACGCGCGCCCGCAGTGAGTGTGCGAGCGCGACAGCAACATAATTACGTGCAAGCGACAAGGATGGGCAGCTTGGGGTCATTGGACAAAATTCTACGTGCTCACGGACCAGGCTTTAGACATAAAAGTGACTGCTAAATTATACAATAGGGTGTGTAGAGTAAATAATGTGTTGTTTGTGCACTGGTTACCTTAAGTAATAAAAAATACAGATGAATTGGGAACCTCCTTTTTGAAGTTGAATAAAAATGCGCACATTACAAGATTATTGACTGGTAACTTTAGTCAATTGACATACTTTTTATGAGCAGTGAAAACGCGACTCTCTCATAGATTTTGTATGGCAATAAACAAGCTATGACGTCACTTTTTAAACAAGTTATTTTGACAAAATTGATGTTATTGACAAAATCGAATTTTTACAACCAATTGAAAAATAACTCAGTTTTGAAGAAATTGTGACTTGGAATTATTAATTTATTTGATCAAGTAAAAAAGCTGCACTAAATTAATTTTCCAACCACTTCATACTTACACATTTCCACCTTCTCCAGGCACGGACATGCTCACCCACTTGCTGATGTGCGAGCACAAATCGGCGTACGCGTCCGAGCAGGAAGCTCGCGAGAACACGCTCGGCGCGAACGACGAACAACGCTCGGAACCGCCTGCGACCGCGGGTGCTGGATCCGCGAGCAATGAGACCGCGCCTGCGGCTGAAGCGGTGGCTGAGGTTTGTGGACCCTTAATTACCTTGCTGACCAGTTGGTCACTAAAGCCTGGTCCGTGAGCACGTAGAATTTTGTCCAATGACCCCAAGCTACCCATCCTTATCGCTCGCGCGTAGTTATGTTGTTGTCGCGCTCGCACACTCACTGCGGGCGCCCGTCGCACAGTCGCGACAGCAATATAATTACGCGCGAGCGATAAGGATGGGTAGCTTGGGGTCATTGGACATAATTCTACGTGCTCACGGACCAGGCTTTAGGTGAATCGACGATTTGGTGAAGGTCGCTGGAAGAACCTGAATGCGGGCAACGCAGGACCTGTCCTTGGGGGAGGCCTTTGTCAAGCCGTCAAGTCAAGTTTGTCAAATAACCTTGCTACATTACTACACTAGCTTTTGACGCGACTTCACCCGCGTGAAATTTAGTGTCACAGATCGGCATAAATTAAAGCCTATATGTTAGTCTGGGTTACAAGCAATAATACTGTAAAGTTTCAACAAAATCCGTTCAGTAGTTTTTGCGTGAAAGAGTAACAAACATCCAGTCCAGACACACTAACTTTCGTATTTATAATATTAGTAGGATAGTGTTTGTTTACTTATGTAAAGCAACAAATCACTAGGATAATGATTACAATCTGACCCGAAGGTTGATACCTTTTCGGGTGAAAAGGTATCAACCTTCGGGTACCATACAAGGGTTTGTATGTGTAAAAAGTTGCAATGCTTTAGGAAAATTATTCCACTGTAAACTAAACGTTATTATACTCTCTTGTCTGTAAGTCTATAATAACGTATAACGTAATAAATGGAAGGAGATCACGAAATATATTTTCAATAAGTTTTGACTCTTTTATCATAATGTTTAGAACTCGGCGGAGAGCGTCCCGGCGATCGCGGACTACGCACCACCCTCGGTGCTAAACACTCAACTGTCGCTCGATGACCTCGCCCCGCCTTCGGTGTTGCAGTCGGACCAGGTAAGTCACTAATAAATAAGTTATATGTTAATTACTTTTTTCAGATACATACAATATTTGTGTGACTAGCACAGATTTGGATATTCAAATGTTAGGCGATTATCACACTGCGCCGCGCTACGCCGCGGTCCGCGTGATTTCATATAAAAGATCCCGCGCGCAGACGCGTTGTTCGTGTGTTGTGCCGCGCGTGTTTTCTATACAAACTGAGGTACTTGCATACAATGATTAAATCTGTCGTCCCGCGTACCGCGACGCAGTGTGATAATCGCCTTATTGACATCATTCAATGATTCAGTCTCTACAGATATTTTGGTAACATAGCACTGTCTATTTCACAATCAATTATTATGAAGTTGATAAAAGAAAAATCTATCATTGTTTCCCGCGCCAATGCACAAGTTTGAGCCAACAAAAAAAACGCCATACAAAATGGCCGCCCAGCATTTTTCTCAAGGGGCTGCCTTAACTGGCTGATGTGCATGGATTAAACCGCCTATTTCTTATTTGGTTATTATATTACACTCATAGAATCTTTGCTAATCGACTTAATATCCTCGCAGCACGACCAAGAGCTTCTGAAGGACGCGTACGACCGTCCGCTGGCCACGCCGCGCCACGAGGAGCCTCACTACAGCCTCGGCGACTTCGAGCCGCTGCCGCAGGAGCCGCCGCCGCAGCCCGACTTCGAACAGCTCTAATAACTAAGCCGCCAAATGTAGCCACACGCATAAACACTACTACTTGTTGCATGGGTCTTGAGTACTATTTTGTAACAATAGACTATTATAACTCTTTTACAATTAAACCACTGAACTGATTTACATGAAATTTGGTATAGAGATGTTTGCAGCCCAGGAAAAAACATGGGTAAAATAATCTTTTTTTCTAGTAGTAGAAATATCAAAAAATATTTGCATCTTTCACTTAGCACTCAAGGTCTGTGCCTGACTTACTGTTAGTGTGCAGTGGACTTATTCATGGTGTATACTTTGCTATGCATATTATGTTTTGTGTAATTTTTCAATGTATGACAACTGAAGTTGACCATCAAGAATTATAGTGTGTAAGCTAAGATGCAATATCTATTTTTATGTATTGGAACTAATACTACCTGGCTAAATTTGCAGCTATAAAAGTGATGTTACTTGGCTGATTAATAATGTAAGTAAGTAATAGGAATTATCTTCATATTTGGTAGCAGCCAAAAGCTGATACACATTTGCAATTTGACCTATGTTTCATGTCAATTCATGTTTTCAGTTCTTCACTATCCATTGTCCATCCATCAGTGGAAAGTTTGTCCACCAGTATTTCATTTCCATCTCCAAGTCTTAACATAAGTTGCAAACTTAGCCACAAGGTGGCTGACATGCCCTGTTTATTCCACTAGGGTAGTATTGAAATGAATTATAAGAATAGATTTTAAAATGGGGATATATTTAGTTGTGTAACAGATTTAATTTGAAATAAATGTCTTCTAGCTATTTTTCTTCTTTTTCTTTCTTTTCTTGAAGGTTAATGTTACTTTATTGCATACTCCGTAATCATCAATGTGACTGTAGTCGCTGTCCAGTATTATACCGTCATAGTTTAAGTCGTATGTCTTCCAGATGTATTTCCAGGATATTTTGACCTTGCTCCTCATTCTTGACTGGTATATCTCGAAGTGCCTTGCAATTGCCTTCTTGAGTTCAATGACTGTGGCATTTTGTGGAACCTGCAAGTAATGAATTGATGAGCCAACCGGTCTTTAACATTAACACATAAAACCTTTTCTCAGGTTCGTAATATGCACAATTACTAATGCCTACTGAATTTTTTGTTATTATAATATACTTACAATCACTTTCAGTGCAGGTTCATCTTCTCTGGATACATTTATTGTGATTGACTGACCATGCTCCACAGCAATCTGAGACAAAATAAATTAGTAACTGGACATTGTTGACCTGAGATTTCAAGATAAGATTATTATATCAATTACCTGAGATATAACTTCTTCTAAAATAACGTCGGAAGGAAGATCGCACAACAGCGTGTCTGATTTTAGTAGAGCCGTTATAGATGAATTTGTAACTTCTATTAGGTCGTCGTGTGATAAGGTATCGGCGATTTCATTCATTTTATAACCTTGAACCGTATTCTCATTTAATTTTCAAATAAATTAAACACAGAGCACGCAGTAAAATAAATTGGGTTTGTTTGTTTACTTTGGACTTTTTGACAAGCACCATAAGCAAGCACAAATTTGACATTTTACTTTTCTAAGTATCTGGGGGCACGGCAGTGCCCCCACCAAGTCGAGCAAAAAAGCGGCACGGCCGTACCATCCTTTTCTCGAAGCAATTCAGGCCATTTTCGACCGCCTGTAACTTCGTTGTGGATAAAACTAGAAGGCTGAATTTTCATTAGCTATGCAGGCATTGTAAAGACACGGTATATTTAAAATTTCATTCAATTTGAACCAGTAGTTTAAGAATTATAACGGGTCAAAGTTACTTAATTTTGTCACTCACTGACTCACTGACTCACTGACTCACCGATCATCAAAACTCTAAGGCACTTCTAGCAGACCTAGAAGCTTCAAATTTGGAATATAAGTAGTGTTTGGTGTATGAATCAAGGAAAAACTAAAATATTTGGGGGCACGGTAGTGCAACCGCCAAGTCGAGTAAAATTTTTCAATTTCGGTCCAGTTTTCTAGATACATAACTGCTGTCTACAAAATACAAAAAGAAATGAGATCCCATCAAAAACAATACTTGTCAAAAAAACCAAGTCTCGCAACTCAGTTGTTCTACGGTAAAAAGTTGTGAGATCCATGTAATACCAAGTCCAGGCCAGGAAATCTTTAACGTTTTACATAAATATATTGACTTGGCCATCGCATGAAAACACGTGTAAATTAAATTATTTAGTGCGATGGCCAAGTCAATAATTTATGTAAAACGTTAAAGATTTCCTGGCCTGGACTTGGTATTACATGGATCTCACAACTTTTTACCGTAGAACAACTGAGTTGCGAGACTTGGTTTTTTTGACAAGTATTGTTTTTGATGGGATTAATTTAACCCTCCATTCTTCCAACCTTAGCTTACTGTGAATGAACTAAATGGACATCACTATACTCACAGTTCATCTGTCTTGTCTGTGAATAATGTCAATCTGTCAAAAGTCACGACAAATTATTGGAATTTTGAGGTTATTTCTATAGACCGTAAAAGTGGATTTATTTGGGACAAATTAAATAAAATCATAATAATATACAATGGATTCCTTATCAACCGGTTCATTGAGTGGAGTTCAAAAGGAGGAGTTAATGGATCAAGTGAAACAGCAAATCGCGATAGCAAACGCCCAAGAGCTCCTCACGAAAATGTCAGAAAAGTGTTTCAAGAAATGTATCAACAAACCAGGCACAGCTTTGGACAATTCTGAGCAAAAGTGTATCGCCATGTGCATGGACAGGTATATGGATGCTTGGAACCTGGTTTCGCGGACGTACAGCAGTCGTATCCAGCGCGAAAGACACAACATGTGAGGGCCTACGCGAACCGATGGCAAAATCTCAGTGCCACCGCAATGCTGTAAATATAGAAGACATAGTAGTTCCAGAGTCCGTTTCAAATTGTGGGTTGCAGCTGGCTGTTGTTACGTTGTGTTCAATAAAAATATTTTAGGTTGTTATTAGTTTTAATTATTCTTACTGTTCTTATTCCTACTGCAAAATGTTTAGATCAAAGTGCATCTGACTGAATAATGCTATTTCTTCATAGTTGTTACAAATTAAATGAATCACACTGTGAAAATGTTAATAAAACCAATGTTCCGTTATTTAATTTATTATTATAAATCTCCCCTGAGCATCTTCTTTCTGTATTGATACATCTTCTTTATCCACATTTCCTTCAATTCTTCTTCACTTGGAATCTCCTGAAAGAAGTTAAATAAAATAATTATTATCAGTGCCTGATGCATCCTAAGCTAATATTTCATCATCCTGATTAGTGGGACAATGGTATAACACAAAATAGATTGTTTACAATGTGCAAAAAAAGATTTACTATGCATTTATTGCAAATAAATGATGAAAGAACTTATTAAATTTGTTTAAAATTCTAAATTACAAAAGTTACATGTATAAAAAATCTTTTAATTGTATACTTACATTGAAATCAATAATAGAATCGTCCCTCTGCACTTTGATCTCAGTCTCTGGCACAGTCACAGTTTGTGAATTCAAATCAATCACAATATTTTGGTTTTGTTTCTTGTTTCTGGACGAAACAAATGCTTTCTGAGTGAAGGATTCACTGTTGAGTTCCTCGAGCAGGTTTCTGTCGTGAATGGTGGGCATGTCCTCCTTGACTTCCACTTCTTTATACTCATATGTAGGAATTTTGGTCATCGTGAGCCCTGCTGCTTCCGCAGCTTTGATTGCTTTCTCCAGTTTTGTCTCTGTGTCATCAAGATTCACAAGCCTTGATGGTAATGGACGTTCTGAAATATAAATATTTTTGACATTATTATATTGCAATCAATTTTCACATTTAATGAGTTAAAAGTATGAACTACAATAGAGCTTCTGTCTATCATATGTTAGGGGCACTGTATGAGCTGCACATACCCTAGGGGTCAAAACAAAAATTGGTAAACTCACAAGCAACCTTGCAGATACATAAAATATAGATAGGAAGTAAAGTGGTTGAAGTGTGCATTCATTCAGACAGTAATCTATAGACTTACCTATGTCAAATGAGCTCGATCTACTGCTCGAAGAACGGGACCTTCGTCTCGAAGACTTCTTGCTCTTACTATGCTTAGTTCTACCCCGCGAACTAGACCGCGAGCGAGAATCCCGCGACATTGACTTCCTTGACCTCTTCCCTCGGGATCTCGACGTTGACCGTCTCTTCCTTGATTCATACCGGTCTCTAGAAACACTCCTTGAGTAACTCCGCCTCTTATGCCTCGATCTGCTACTAGAACGCTTTCTTCTGTGGCTACTGGACTCTGAACGATCTCGAGAACGCGACCGCCTTCTGTGTTTGCTTTTAGATTTCTTCCTTTCGTACGATGATTCGCTACTCCGAGACGAGCTCCGTCTGTCACGGTACCTGCTCTTTTCACGAGGCATGATGAATATTTATCTAAACATTGCAAAATTTTCTAATCTAATCCACATATTCCAGGACCTCGTATTCTTCTATCTTCTTTTTAGACCACAAACACGAGTTTGGATTCAAAACAAAATGTCACACGTATGTCATAATGACAACTGACAGTTAGTTGGTGTTACCCGAATTTCTCTAAATTACCCTGGTTGGGTTGAAAAAACGACTCATCAAAACTGAGGCCCGTGCGCACGTGGTAGGTAGATTTCTTCTCATTACCTACTTTCCTTGCTTTTGAACATTGATCATCATCCACTGCGTAACATTGGTCCCCTCCCCACCTTAGGTTGTCCCTCAACACAGGATGGGTCCAATCTAGTATGACTGGGCTAGCATCCAGATTCCAGCGCCTACCTGCAACCTTTTTAACAGTAATTTGTCTACTTACCTCGTGGATGAACGGAATATTCCGCATTGTGTTGTTTACAGAACTTGCTACTATAACGACTGTTTTTCGTTCGGCGTGCTATGTTCTGTCTGTCCTGCTGTGATCCTGTCCTGCCGTGCGTGCTGAATATCATAAACATTTTACTGTGTGTAAGCCTAAGCGTCGCCAAATGAGAGTAATGGCTAAATTTAATAAAGCAGAATGTTTTATAGGTATTGTAAAATCAATATGCAAGATATTTTACTCATAGTATTATCATATTTTCCTAATCAAGTTATTTAAAAATTTCTTTACATTCCTACAACATAAAAATATTTTTATCATATGGCAAGACTAAAATTTTTATTGGTCACTAGATGGCGTTGTTGGCTGTTATCCGTTGAGATTCCGTTACACGGAGTTTTATCCATGTAATTTAAAAAAATAATGTTTTAAATGGTTTTAGGGACTATAATTACTGCTTATAAGAAAATTATCAATAAGATTAATATTAAAAATGCTCTAGTTATAAATATAATTGTGAAATATGTGTACAAATTAAACAAAGGCACTTATTTTATAAAGTGACATTAGAAAAGTATGCATGAATGGGAAAATTGCGTAGGGCAGCGACCGTCAGTCGGCCTCGATGACGGAATGTGTGAAATTTTTAAGATGGTGATGAACTCTGTTTTTCGTGTAATATCCAAAAAGACTCTTGCTGGTGCTTTATAATTTTGCAGAAACATTCAAAATGTGTCAAGTTTTGTAATTACGCATTCACGATTATTTTTCCGTTGGTGTAACGAACCGAATGTGTCGAACGTGTTAGTGCAACCACTGACATTGTTTCGCTAGATTGTGGTGTCCATCGAGATTGTTATGTTCAAGCTTGTATTGTGTGCTTTGCTGACACCCTGGTATAGAGAGTTCTGATGAATTCTAAGTCATGGAGAGACAGGAACGACCCCACGCCAACATGGAGCCTGCAGACTTCGCGGACACGAAACAGGTGAGTGAGTCGGCCACGGTAGTAATTGCCGGTTGTTCAATACTGCACTGGTGTGTGCAGTGGTGAAATTGACCTTTTTCAATGCTCGAATCGGCTGCGAGTCTTTATAAGGCAATTAGTATTGTCGTTTTTGCACATGTGCATTGTGTAACTGATGTTTTGGACAAAAAGGTTGATTGGACTTGGACTAAATACTTATTTAATTAATTTGTTGAGTGTACTCTAATAAATCTAGTTAGCCAGTCGCCCATGTTACCTTTTAAACAGACTAAATGGAACCAAGGTGGCTTGTGGGCGAAGTTGGCTGCAGCCCACACGACTGATGAATAAATTATTGGTATTAGAACATTGTTATGAGCCTTATGTGTCATATCAGATGTGATTGTGTTGAACGCCATTGTCTTTAAACACATTTGATACATTCCAGTTCTTTCACATTCCAGAATGTGCTACAAATGTCATGAAATTATTTTTTATAAACTGTTCTAACATGCTCTAGTTTATAAAATATGATTGGACATCTTAACAAATTCCCATTTTATGAAGTTACTTACAATTTCACACACATTTTAACATTTAGAGAATTTGTTGATAATCGTAATGGCAAAAAAGAAAGTTGTAATTAAATCTCATTGTAGCTAGCTATTAGTCAACTTAGAGACGATAGAAATATAAATTCATAAGCATTGATTTTGATTTGAGTTAAAATGTTGAATGTTTAAAAGAAGTTCTACTTGACTGCACAATTTCGTCTGGTCTTATGTTCTGTGCATATTACCTATATCTTATGCATTTGGATGCATTTTCAGAGTTAATACAAGTATTTTATCTGTCAATACATAAGTTGAAAGTATCCATCGATTTTGCATGTCAACTACAACAACTAGCATGTCAACGCAGCCTTGCAGGACTCCCAAATGACTCATCATGAGTTGCTACCAGGTTCTCTTAAATTACACTATTATCTTCATTTTTAACAGTTGTGCTCATTATGCTGTTTATCAGTACAATTAATTACGAATTGATCATGATCACCAGGGTCTGGAGGCCTTTATAATAATGTCTGTCTTGATTTAACACTATGTCCACATTGCATGCCGTGGCAGCCTTTAATTAAGACGACACTTAGTTCTAAGCACTTTTAGTTATAGTAATTCCATGTATGCGTGTTAGTCTTGTTGGTTGTCCTAATAAATAAAATAAAATAAGTTAAGTTCTCAATTTAAAACTGTTTCCTTCTAAAATCTCTTGTGAACTAAATTTTACTACTTATGCAGGCTACATTTTTTTCTCTAACTTCTAGTAAATGCTAAGTTTTCATTATATTCTGGAATATAATAATAATGGGATTTTTTGAAATAAAACCTTTTAAATGCAGAGTATTATGTCCCAATAAATTAAAACTAGCTTTCAGAATTCAGATTACTTTCATTTAAGCTTGTTTTTTATTTAATTTACAAATACAAAGCCCTTATAAGACCAATGAGGATCTATGAATCTTTACAGTAAGAAAATGTGTAAAAAAGTACGAAATAAGGCTATGGTATGGTCTTAAGATTCACTTGTAGTCCTTGTAGATGATGGAATTGAAATTATTTTTATTGGTGTTTACATTTTTTCTGAATGCATTGAGTTAAAACAAATTATTATTTACATACTATTCATTCATTCAAAATGTTATAGTACTGTACATATTCAAGATATTTATTTACATAATGTGACCTTATAAAGAAGTGAGATTATTAAGATCTGATAAACATTATCCATTCACTTTAACACCTGTCAAAGATAGCAAAGATATTAACTTAAAAATAGACTGATGTTTTTATGCAAAACAAGTCCAAAAAAATTTAGGATTTAAAGGCTTTCATCTCTTTGACACATCTCATTTTACAGATCCAGCAATTTATAATGATATTCTATTCAAATTCGACAAAATATGCGCCGCCAAGTTTACGTCTTAAAAAAGGTTTGAGTTTAAAGTTCCATCAGTGGCGCCGGAAATACTGAACTAATAGATGGTTAGGCTTATCTTGAGCCGTTCGGAGGTATTGGTAGGGGGCTGGGCGGCGTGCGAGCGCGCAGTTGACCCGCGACAAGCGCGCACGTCGCGCGCTGCGCCACGCCCGAGTGATGTCACACGCGCCCGCGCCCGCTGTGCAGTGATTGTGACCATGGTAGCGATGGTAGCTTCAGCCTCCGGATACGGCACCCTCCGCCGCTTCATGAGCGCGCCGGAAGGTCAGCCCGGCATGGAGGAGGCCGCAGTCGTGACCAGCACATCTGTCGCCGTTTCGGTGAGAGAAGACATGCGTTGCGAACCCTACCTCTACCTGTACTAGCATATCTAGATACCGCACGATGTGATAACGTTATGCGTTCGGAATGCTCTGATAATGACTTGTTTACCCATGCGTCTTTATCGCAAGCCGAGCCCGCGAACGCGGATAAGTTTCTAACGATTAACTTATAATTCGCTATTTCTCGAATGCCTAAAAATATTACAACATTCTTCTGCGCTGTCGATACGTTCATAAACTCAATAAAATTGCGAGTGAGTAGTAACAACACATTTAACGCAATAAATTGGCTTGGTGGAAGTATTACAAAAGCTTTTAGAAAGCGGCGTGTGGCGACTACCATCGGTGTCTATAAGCAGTCGTTATTAACTTGAGAACACTGCAAATAATACTTTTCACTTTGGTATTGTAGAGCGATCAGTGTAAGCCAGACTAGAATGTGGTCAGCTGTTATTTCACAAACCGTTTTGTTCCTTTTAGATATCGTAACCGTAAGTCGAATCGATCTGTCTGTCGTTTCGTAGGTATCAAAAAGACGAATGATCAGTCCATCGGAAGCGAGCAACGAAAGGGTCATTAACCCAACTTTCCTTTTTTATATTCTGTTGCGTTATTAGCATCGATCGACAATCCGGCCTTGGCCTCGCATCACACGTGTGCCACAATAACTCTTTCCTCGATGATGTCACCGAGATCTGGCCGGGAACGCGGGATGGAGCCAAGGTTAGGTCATCAGACCGTGGCTGTATCGTGGAGACCCACGGCTCGTTGGCCACCACCGCGAAAGGAGCGCGCCGATGTGGCTACCGACCCAGATCACTCTAGCGCTTACTCGCTTTTTAGCCCCTAAATAAATGTGGGACATCTCGAGAGTAACACAGCACATTATTATATTGAATCTGATGTCCCATTTGCTCAGCCATACGGAGTGTGGTAAAGATTGAGCAGTAGCGGAATGTAGCCTTTAATCAACTGATTCTGAGAGTTATGCCGCTATTGCATTGTTGCGCTTAACTGTTTTGAGTAAATTACACGATCTATCATTGGCATGAAGTTTAAAATTGCCCGTTGCAATGTTTCGAGCGGGTATCGGCCAGGAAATCGTAAAGCGAGCAGGCCCGCCGGTGCGTAGAGAAAACGCCGCAAACTCAATACGATCGCCGTGATAATAGTGTGCCATTGGAAATGGAGAGTCGTAATTCAATGCAATTGTTCGACGAGGTTTCAAATCTCACCCATAAATTTTCTGCAATAACGATTTCCACATATTCATATTTTCCAAATTTTAGAGAATTGCCTCTTCAAAAGGCCTCGAAACCTATTAATATTTAAAATACCTCGCTTTAGAAGTGATCTTGCGTAATTCAAAATCAATGTTATTGTAAATAGTTGATAGCCCAGTGTGTGTGTGTGTGTGACGAATTCTAGTTGGAATGCTACAAACGTAAACGGTGCTGTAGGACGCAAGACCAGTTTGTCGCAAGAATTCTAAATAGAGTCAACGGAAAACTTTAATCTTTGAACCCATTCACATGCACCTTTCCGACTAAATTTAACCTGCGCAAGAAATTTTAGAAGCATTTTTCAAACGCCATTTGTGGGAACGGCTTTTAACATACCATTGCGATTACCAAATAAATCAGTTAAAGTAATCGGCCAGTTGATACGTTTAAGATTGATGTGGTCGGTTTCGACATCTGTGTCCATTGTAGCACTATGCTACCGTCGGTGTGAGCGCGCACTTCCGCCCACGGGCTTCGTATAAGGCGCAGGCGCAGGCCTTGCTTCGGCTCTACGTGGGCATGGGCATATCTGCCAGACTGGACGTTTCGCAATCACACCGTTTAAATATTACTTCGGAAGGCTGCATAGGTCGTTAGATTCACCACAACTACTCATAACTGGACCTCGCATAATTGTTTAATGTGATTTTGATTTGCTAGTCCTTGCCATCTCCTTGATGTGCAGGTTTAACTTCACAACCATTATTATTGGGTTCAACTAATTACGACGCAAAAATATGTACAGGTCCAAATGTGGCGCCTAAGGTGGTCTTTAACCAGTTTTCTCGGTTGATTAATCTCAAAAAACAATCATTGTTATTTCTGGGTTAACAATCCAAAAACGTAATTTCATTACGTAAATGAGAAGCTCTATAAACAAATTTAATTATTCAAGGCTTTGATGAAACGTAAATTTGATCGGCTGGGTTGCGTTACAATAATCATTCCCATAATCAAAGCGGTTTTATTTTAAATTAGAAACGCTTTCGAGCCACACGGTCTCTAGGAGATCGAATTCCAGATAGCAAAGAATTTCTTCGCCATTATTTATTACCTACTGCCACATTAGTTATAATAGCTATGCATAATCTTAATGTTAATGTCCAAATGTACGTCAATCTAATTTTACACGTGTTTTGAACAATCCGTCAAAAAATTCTACACGTGAAACAGTTCACGGCGACAAGTCTAGCACTAGTTTAATTATTGAGCAATTTGAAATGAAGACAATAGAAAAGCATCCATTATTAAATGGATAAGAAAGCCTTTGCATTTCATTCCACATTATGAACGCGATCGAGGAAATATTGTTGTTGAAGAGAGAAAGATATTAGTAAATGTTTCTGATATCTGATCTGCTGATGGGTTATCAATCATCGCAGTTTGCTATCTCTGTCTGATGAATGCTAATGCCATT